TAAAACATTTTTTACAGTTGCAGTCAGAAGTTTACATTCACCTTAGCCAAATACATTTAAACTCAGTTGTTCACAAATCCTGACATTTAATCCTAGTAAAAAAACCCTGTCTTAGGTCAGTTAGGATCACCACTTTATTTTAAGAATGTGAAATGTCAGAATAATAGTAGAGAGAATGATTTCTTTCATCACATTCCCAGTGGGTCAGAAGTTTACATACACTCATTTAGTATTTGGTAGCATTGCCTTTTAAATTGTTTAACATCGGTCAAACGTTTCGGGTAGCCTTCCACAACCTTCCCACAATATGTTGGGTGAATTTTGGCCCATTCCTCCTGACAGAGCTGGTGTAACTGAGTCAGGTTTGTAGGCCTCCTTGCTCGCACACGCTTTTTCAGTTCTGCCCACAAATTTTCTATAGGTTTGAGGTCAGGGTTTTGCGATGGCCACTCCAATACCTTGACTTTGTTGTCCTTAAGCCATTTTGCCACAACTTTGGAAGTATGCTTGAGGTCATTGTCCATTTGGAAGACCCATTTGCGTCCAAGCTTTAACTTCCTGACTGATGTCTTGAGATGTTGCTTCAATATATCCACATAATCTTCCTTCCTCATGATGCCATCTAATTTGTGAAGTGCACCAGTCCCTCCTGCAGCAAAGCACCCCCACAGCATGATGCTGCCACCCCCGTTCATCACGGTTGGGATGGTGTTTTTCGGCTTGCAAACATCCCCCTTTTTCCTCCAAACATAACGATGGTCATTATGGCCAAACAGTTCTATTTTTGTTTCATCAGACCAGAGGACATTTCTCCAAAAAGTACGATCTTTGTCCCCATGTGCAGTTGCAAACCGTAGTTGGGCTTTTTTATGGCGGTTTTGGAGCATTGGCTTCTTCCTTACTGAGCGGCCTTTCAGGTTATGTCGATATAGGACTTGTTTTACTGTGGATATAGATACTTTTGTACCTGTTTCCTCCAGCATCTTCACAAGGTCCTTTGCTGTTGTTCTGGGATTGATTTGGACTTTTCGCACCAAAGTACGTTCATCTCTAGGAGACAGAACGCGTCACCTTCCTGAGCGGTATGACGGCTGCATGGTCCCATGGTGTTTATACTTGCGTACAACTGTTTGTACAGATGAACGTGGTACCTTCAGGTGTTTGGAAATTGCTCCCAAGGATGAACCAGACTTGTGGAGGTCTACAATTTTTTTTCTGAGGTCTTGGCTGATTTCTTTGGATTTTCCCATGATGTCAAGCAAAGAGGCACTGAGTTTGAAGGTAGGCCTTGAAATACTTCCACAGGTACACCTCCAATTGACTCAAATGATGTCAATTAGCCTATCAGAAGCTTCTAAAGCCATGACATCATTTTCTGGAATTTTCCAAGCTGTTTAAAGGTACAGTCAACTTAGTGTGTGTAAACGTCTGACCCACTGGAATTGTGATACTGTGAATTATAAGTGAAATAATCTGTCTGTAAACAATTGTTGGAAAAATGACTTGTGTCATGCACAAAGTAGATGTCCTAACCGACTTGCCAAAACTATAGTTTGTTAACAAGAAATTTGTGGAGTGGTTGAAAAACGAGTTTTAATGACTCCAACCTAAGTGTATGTAAACTTCCGACTTCAACTGTATGTAGTTCTGTCCTTGAGATGTTCTTGTCCATTAATGTTCTGTATTATGTCATGTTTCATGTTTTGTGTGGACCCCAGGAAGAGTAGCTGCTGCTTTTGCAACAGCTAATGGGGATCCTAATAAAATACCAAATACCAAAACCCAATAGTGCATGCCGAAATGCGGGAAGATATGGGCACCTGCCAAAAGTCCCGGCCTAATGCTGACATGCTGAGTGCCTCACATTGTTACAATATGAGAAGATGTAATGATGAATGACCGCCACTTCTATAAGCATGAGTGTAATTGGATAATGCAACATTTCTCAATAAAGCATGGCGCACTGAGTGCCATATACAAACATTTACTGATGTGTTTAGATTAAATGCTACGTATGTTTGTACGTAGAACTCAGGCACGCATGCTGTAATGCAATTTGTATGATAGTAACAGGATGTTTGCTTTGCTTCAAACACAGTGATAGGGACAGATAACAGATAGCGTTGAGGTGAAAGATAACACCTTTATATTACTTGAGAAAGGAGAGAAGTGAAACAGATGAGGGTTGATGAGGGATGAAAAGAGAATGACGAGGAGCAGAGCGGGATCGAGCGAAGATAAATTAGCGTAAAGCATTAGAAAGGATTGAGTGTAAGAGCGAGCTATTATGATAGTACCTCAAGAACCTGATTTAGAATGCTTAACAGTAAGGCTATAGTGATTAGGGTTACAAGTGAAGGAATAAAAGTGATAGGAGTTGTGAACGCGCCATTAGAAGGAAACCATGAAAAACCAGTAAGAAGACAGCCTTGCAAAAATGTCAATGCGGAGGCAAACCGCCTTGTCTGGGGGCTGCGATGCTGTAGAATAGGAAGTAGCAGGTATCTTAGTAATGACATTAAAACTGTTGTGTTGCAATGAAAAAGGGTCACTTGAATATGAGTGGGCAAAGATGGCACGGGACAAAGTAACAAGCCGTAATAATGTGATTCACTTAGTGTGTGACGTGCTGTTGCTAGGCCTATGAATTGAGGCCCACTACAGACATTTTAGTCACTAAGCAGACGCTCTTATCCAGAGCGACTTACAGGAGCAATTAGGATTAAGTGCCTTGCTCAAGGGCACATCAACAGATTTATCACCTAGTTGGCTTGGAGAGTAAAACCAGCGACCTTTTGGTTTCTGGCCCAATGCTCTTAACCACTAGGCTACCTGCCTACCAATTAGCCCTAATGTAAACCAATAAACAGCAGACTACAAGCCTGAAAATCCCCCAAAAGTACATGGATGGGAAGCATCCATAGTAAAACCTGTCCTCGAGGGTCAACTGGGGTCAACAACCACAGATAATGAGATTTTGAGATCCGGCACTGTTGCAACAACCATAGTAAACGTGTTACGCCTCAATCACACTGACAGCGTCATTGCGCAAAATGGTACGCAGCGTCATCTGGGTATGTGTGCAAAAAACCATTTATTCTGCTACCATTTCTGTCAAACCGTCTATGCATACAGTTTGATGCATGTGTTCGATAAATCCAATGTATAGAACGCACTGCAACTGCCTCTGCATAAATATCAACAATGTATTTATAATGCATTACATAACAGGTAACATAAGAAGTGTTAGCAAACTTGTTTGTGTCTCCCAAGTTGACAAAAGACACTCCTGAAATACTTCAAGATGGTGTTTCAAATGGTGTTTAGTAGAGCTATGCATTTCTAATACTTCATCTGAATTATAATGAGGGATAATGGTTGGCATCCATGTTTGAAAGTTTACTTCAAAGAAAATATCAATATGATGTACAAGATGATGTTATGTAAGTTGTTTACGTGAGTTGGTCCAAGGTCAGCTTGGCCTGAAGGCTTCCCCTCATTCTAGTCCCTGCCCCTCTTTCACATTATGTCATAAGCACACACACACACACAAAACAAACTCATTTTCAGATACTCAACCCTGTTTATTTTTCTACTTTTTCAAAACACAGACTGTACATTTTCTACAAGTTCACAATCAACATCAAAACTATAATTTAATTTCATATTACATGGTTTGAACACCAGAGATATACAGCCTGATGCACGTCGAATCTAACCTCAACTACTGTAGTAGATCAAATAAAAAAATAGGGCTAACAATGTAACATTTTCATCAAACATTCACAGTTGACTTTTTAAACAAAATGCTAAGACTTGTTTATACAGTGTTTGTGACAAGTACTGAGGATACGAAGAGGCAGGACGCAGACGCAGGAATCAACAATGTAAAGGTTTACTTAACACTGAGCAAGAGCACAACAAAGAGCGAGTACACGACAAGACACTAACAGTCACACACAACACAACACTGAACAGTCCAGGGCGATATAGGGGTGGTGATGAGGTGCAGGTGCACTGTAGGTGATTAGGGTGCGTTGGGTTTCCATTCCGGTGTTGCCGAGGTGGTGCGCTCAGACCAGTGGCTCAGTAGACCGGCGAATCAGACCGGAGGAGACATGACAGTGTTTTTTTGTGTGTTTCTTTTACACTGTATTTAAGCAAGCACTGGTGATAGCATTTAGCATTGCATGAGTCATAATAAATCTGTCAAATCTGCAGTATCCATCAATAATTTTTCTTCAGTCTACTTGTTTTTTTTTTACAGTTTAAATAAAACACTGAAATAGCTCCACCCACCTGTGGCAACCAACCTACACAATACAAATACCTAAATCCCTTCAATTATAAAACAGATAGTTCCGTTCTGATAGTTCGATCTGATTGCTCGAGAAGCATTCCAAGCTGTGCTTCATTTTCCGATACGGTCACATCTATGATGCAATTTCACTGTATTCTAGTGTAAAGAAAAATCTCACTGCGCAGGGTAAACATTAATTTAGTAGGACATAAGAGTCAGTGTGGTTGTTGCTAACCAAACCCAAGGACTCTACACTCTTAGAAAAAAGGGTTCCAAAATGGTTCTTCGGATGTCCCCATAGGATAATCTCTTTTGGTGCCAGGTTGAGCCCTTTTGGGTTCCATGTAGAACCCTCTGTAGAAAGAGTTCTACATGGAACACCCAAAAAGGTTCTACATGGAACCAAAGGGGTTTTTCCTGCAACCAAAAAGGGTTCTTTAAAGGGTTCTGCTATGGGGACAGCCGAGTAACCCTTTTTTTCTGAGTGTACCTCTAAAATATTAAATGTATCCACACAATTTACAATAGGTTCATTAAAATGTTACTCTTGCCATTGTAATATAAAATCATGCCTATTAAACAGTATGCAACTGTGCAAAGATACATCTCAACTGGCTTACAATATACAACAAAAATCACATTTATTGGAGACGATTCATGGAATTTGTGGACTTAGAATCAACAAATGAAAAATTAATTCCTAGACATTCAGACAATCTCCCTTATTATAGTTGAGGAACTTGATTAGTATTGGTGGGAGGGGCAGGGTGTTGATGTGCCTCAGTCTGGGGATTCCAACCTGCTGATGGATCTTCAGCCTGCACAGCTGCATCAGTGAATGTGGTGGCACTGAAAGAAAGTGCAAAGACGTTGCTTATTAAAGGGACTGTGCAATTGGAGAGCAACTGATTTATATGGTTAACACACATGAGAACAGTCAAGGTAACAAGTATGCAACACTACAAAAAATAAGGGCATAACCTTAACCTTAGAAAGTAGATATTCATGTGCAACTTGACATTATGCAGAAGTTTCCCATTGACACCCATGCATTATTTACGTGAAACTTTGCGATACATGCTCATTTCTCAAGAGAATTGACCCTAAATGAACACAGACCCTAATGATTATATCATGGTAAATGAAATACTCCAAGCTCTGTCATTAGTAGAGATCCCTGGCATAAGCTAACTTACTTGCTTTCACCTTGATCCCTGCCCAGTCATGGTAGCTATCCAGGTGCTCGATCAGCCGGGAGCAGAGTTTCACATGGCCAACATAATCCAGGAGCATGTCTATGATGGGTCCTGCCCAGAGGCTTATTGTCGGATCGGAAATCGCCTCACAGAACTGAAAATTAAGGTTTCAAATTGGATTCAAAGAACACCCAACAATAGGTGTGTTGACCTGAGATGGAATTGGAAACCAATAGACCAGCAAACTGTCTATATTGCATATTAACCCAACCTACCTGGACGCACGTGTTGATTGGAGCTTCGTCCTCGTCCTCGCTGAAGTCTCTGCCCCTGCCCCTGCCACTACTTGACGTTTTCAGGGGTGGGTGTGGATTGCTGCCATATGTGCAGTCGAAACAGGAAAGGGCATCGCAGCCATTGTCCATCAGATACTTCAGGATTGGCAGATACTTCATACCGAGCATGACCACTGCCGGGAAGGAGCAGGGGTGTGTGAGGATGGACGCATTCATGTTAGCTCCGTGCTCCACCAGCACTGTGATCATTTCCATGCAACCCCGCCTCACAGCGATAAGAAGAGGGTTGAACATGTCAAGGTTGGGGTTAGCGCCGGCCTCCAGAAGCATTTCGGTGGCCTCTAGGTTGTTGTTGGCGACAGCGAAGTAGAGCGCTGTGCTGCGACGGTCCTCATACATTTTGGATCGGTCTTCTGCCAGCTGGAGATTGACGTCATAGCCTCTCTTGATAAGCACCTCTAGGATCCAGTCCCTGTTGTGCTCAGCAGCCAGGTGGAGGGGACTGATGCCACTGCATTGAACTTTGGCCTTGCTTGTGGCAGGGATCAGCATGGACATAATGCTACAAAAGGGAAGCAAAGGGATCACTTCTCACACTGTATTGCATGTATTTTCAAAGAGAAACCAATGCTTTGAATTATCCAATCAATCAATTCACTGCACTCACTCAAAATGTCCTTTCCGGACAGCAACATGAAGAGGCAGGAGGCCAGACTTGGTTGTTCGGTTTGCATCTGCTTTCTGAGATAGAAGCAGTTCCACAACTTCCTTGTGACCATTCTTACTTGCCTCGTACAAGGGTGTTGCCCCATCACATGCCTGGCAGTTCATATCAGCGCCTACAATACATAGGAGCATAGACCAAATGTATACAATGTTGAAATACGGGAAAAGTGGCAACAGCATAACACCATCATCAACAAATCGTCTGGATGCTTAATGGTTCTTTTTTAATATATTCATGGCATTGTAAGGAATGGAATACTTTCTTCAAGATATAGGCATCCGATACTAGGAAACCCAATAGGGTTTGGACATAGAACTAGTTTTCAGGTTCAGTTTGAGTTGTAGGATTTCATTGTCATGCCATTGGGACTATTTAATGCATCAACATTTTAATTGGTTCACAACAGACACTGTCATAAAGGTCATGCATTCCCAAAAGTGTATTCAACAAGGACTTTGGACATTATTGACATGATTTGAGGATGGATGAAGTGATATTGAAGCTGGTTGTCAAAATTCGAAAACCTCACCTTTGCTAATCAGGAAGGACAACACCTTCACTCCCCCATTCTGTGCTGCCGTAAAGAACGGGTCTATCCCATAGATATTGGCTGCATTCATCTTGGCCCCGGCATCCAACAACATCTGGCAAATTTCCACGTTATCATGCCCAGCTGCTTCATGGAGAGGTGTCACACCCCTGAACGCAAGCCTTGTGCACTGAGGCTCCATACTTTAGGAGGTGGTCTACAATCTCCGCATTGGGCTTCCCACAAGCTGAAAACGGAATGTGAGAAACAACACAGGTAAATTTGGTTGGATTTTGCTGTTTGTAAAACATAAGCTGATTTGTATAACAGACTTCGCCAGTATGACCAGTAATCTAGCTTGAGACCTGGAGACTTGTGTTCGCTCCCAGAGCTAACACAGAGACCACGCTGTTCACTATTGAACCTCTTGACAGAACAACTTTGAAATCAATTATTTACCTTTGAAGAGTGGTGTTTCTCCGTCCTTATTGGCAATTTCGGGATTGGCACCTCTGTCCAGAAGGCACTCCACACAGTTCACATGGTGAAAGATGGCAGCCAAAAGAAGTGGGGTCTGATTGTGTGTACCACATGTGTTCACCATGCCAGGATGGGCTGTGGGAACGAAAACAGAGCTTTGTGACCCATGCAAGTTAAAAACAATCAGCATGTACTGATAAAGGATCTTCCTGAGATTCAGGAGAACTGTGTATAAAATAGAAACCATTCTCAATTACACTTTTCTTTGTTTCACCCTCACCTCTTAATAAATCTTGAGGCATTCTTCTTGACCGTAATATGCAGCTTCATGTAGAGAAATCCATCCATCCTCATTTGGTACAAAAAGACTCTCTGGATTGCATTTCACTATCTCTGTTAAAGCCTTTAAATCCCCATTCTCAATCACAGGCACCAGGGGTCTCATATCTCTAAGGCATAGACAAAGATTAAGGGGAAAATTGTCATAAAATTTGGGCAAGACAAAAAATGTAAGTGCCTTTGAACGGGGTATGGTAGTAGGTGCCAGGCGCACCGGTTTGTGTCAAGAACTGCAACTCTGCTGGGTTTTTCATACTCAACAGTTTCCTGTGTGTATCTTGAATGGTCCACCACCCAAAGGACATCCAGCCAACTTGGCACAATTGTGTGAAGCATTGGAGTCAACATGGGCCAGCATCCCTGTGGAACGCTTTCGACACCTTGTAGAGTCCATGCCCAGACGAATTGAGGCTGTTCTGAGGGCAAAAGGGGGAGATGCAACTCAATATTAGGAAGGTGTTCCTAATGTTTGGTATACTCAGTGTAAACTAAGTGTACAAAATATTAGGAACACCTTCCTAATATTGAGTTGCACCGTCTTTTATCAGAACAGCCTCAATTTGTCGGGGCATGGACTCTATACTCAAACCGGTGCGCCTGGCACCTACTACCATACCCCATTCAAAGGCACTTAAATATTTTGTCTTGCCCATTCACCCTCTGAATGGCACATACACAATCCATGTCTCAATTGTCTCAAGTCTTAAAAATCCTTCTTTAAACTATCTCCTCCCCTTCATCTACACCGATTGAAGTGAATTTCATTCTTAGCACTCCAAGACATTGGGGACTCTAAGCGGACATATGGAATTGTTTTAAGATGGTAATACTATGGATCATTTAGCTATTTGATTTTGAATTTGAGGACACCTTTTTTTATTTTAAAACGCATTGAATAACACATTCATAAATGGCAAAAAGTACAGTCAAAGAATAAATCATAAGAAACAAGGTTTTGAAGTGTAAAAAAACAACTCTGTAAATATGTATATACAGTGGGGAAAAAAAGTATTTCGTCATCCACCAATTGTGCAAGTTCTCCCACTTAAAAAGATGAGAGAGGCCTGTCATTTTCATCATAGGTACACGTCAAATATGACAGACAAATTGAGAAAAAAAATCCAGAAAATCACATTGTAGGATTTTTAATGAATTTATTTGCAAAATATGGTGGAAAATAAGTTTTTGGTCACCTACAAACAAGCAAGATTTCTGGCTCTCACAGACCTGTAACTTCTTCTTTAAGAGGCTCCTCTGTCCTCCACTCGTTACCTGTATTAATGGCACCTGTTTGAACTTGTTTTCAGTATAAAAGACACCTGTCCACAACCTCAAACAGTCACACTCTAAACTCCACTATGGCCAAGACCAAAGAGCTGTCAAAGGACACCAGAAAATTGTAGACCTGCACCAGGCTGGAAAGATTGAATCAGCAATAGGTAAGCAGCTTGGTTTGAAGAAATCAACTGTGGGAGCAATTATTAGGAAATGGAAGACATACAAGACCACTGATAATCTCCCTCGAACAGGGGCTCCACGCAAGATCTCACCCCGTGGGGTCAAAATGATCACAAGAACGGTGAGCAAAAATCCCATAACCACACCGGGGGACCTAATGAATGACCTGCAGAGAGCTGGGACCAAAGTAACAAAGCCTACCATCAGTAACACACTACGCCGCCAGGGACTCAAATCCTGCAGTGCCAGACGTGTCCCCCTGCTTAAGCCAGTACATGTCCAGGCCCGTCTGAAGTTTGCTAGAGTGCATTTGGATGATCCAGAAGAGGATTGGGAGAATGTCATATGGTCAGATGAAACCAAAATAGACCTTTTTGGTAAAAACTCAACTCGTCGTGTTTGGAGGACAAAGCATGCTGAGTTGCATCCAAAGAACACCATACCTACTGTGAAGCATGGGGGTGGAAACATCATGCTTTGGGGCTGTTTTTCTGCAAAGGGACCAGGACGACTGATCCGTGTAAAGGAAAGAATGAATGGGGCCATGTATCATGAAATTTTGAGTGAAAACCTCCTTCCATCAGCAAGGGCATTGAAGATGAAACGTGGCTGGGTCTTTCAGCATGACAATGATCCCAAACACACCGCCCGGGCAACGAAGGAGTGGCTTCGTAAGAAGCATTTCAAGGTCCTGGAGTGGCCTAGCCAGTCTCCAGATCTCAAACCCATAGAAAATCTTTGGAGGGAGTTGAAAGTCCGTGTTGCCCAGCGACAGCCCCAAAACATCACTGCTCTAGAGGAGATCTGCATGGAGGAATGGGCCAAAATACCAGCAACAGTGTGTGAAAACCTTGTGAAGACTTACAGAAAACGTTTGACCTGTGTCATTGCCAACAAAGGGTATATAACAAAGTATTGAGAAACTTTTGTTATTGACCAAATACTTATTTTCCACCATAATTTGCAAATAAATTAAACAAAAAAATGTGATTTTCTGGATTTCTTTTTCTCATTTTGTCTGTCATAGTTAACGTGTACCTATGATGAAAATTACAGGCCTCTCTCATCTTTTTAAGTGGGAGAACTTGCACAATTGGTGGCTGACTAAATACTTTTTTCCCCCACTGTATATACAGTGGGGAGAACAAGTATTTGATACACTGCCGATATTGCAGGTTTTCCTACTTACAAAGCATGTAGAGGTCTGTAATTTTTTATCATAGGTACACTTCAACTGTGAGAGACGGAATCTAAAACAAAAACCCAGAAAATCACATTGTATGATTTTTAGGTAATTAATTTGAATTTTATTGCATGACATAAGTATTTGATCACCTACCAACCAGTAAGAATTCCGGCTCTCACAGACCTGTTAGTTTTTCTTTAAGAAGCCCTCCTGTTCTCCACTCATTACCTGTATTAACTGCACCTGTTTGAACTCGTTACCTGTATAAAAGACACCTGTCCACACACTCAATCAAACAGACTCCAACCTCTCCACAACGGCCAAGACCAGAGAGCTGTGTAAGGACATCAGGGATAAAATTGTAGACCTGCACAAGGCTGGGATGGGCTACATGACAATAGGCAAGCAGCTTGGTGAGAAGGCAACAACTGCTGGCGCAATTATTAGAAAATGGAAGAAGTTCAAGATGACGGTCAATCACCCTCGGTCTGGGGCTCCATGCAAGATCTCACCTCGTGGGGCATCAATGATCATGAGGAAGGTGAGGGATCAGCCCAGAACTACACGGCAGGACCTGGTCAATGACCTGAAGAGAGCTTGGACCACAGTCTCAAAGAAAACCATTAGTAACACACTACGCCGTCATGGACTAAAATCCTGCGGCGCACGCAAGGTCCCCCTGCTCAAGCCAGCGCATGTCCAGGCCCGTCTGAAGTTTGCCAATGACCATCTGGATGATCCAGAGGAGGAATGGGAGAAGGTCATGTGGTCTGATGAGACAAAAATCGAGCTTTTTGGTCTAAACTCCACTCGCCGTGTTTGGAGGAAGAAGAAGGATGAGTACAACCCCAAGAACACCATCCCAACCGTGAAGCATGGAGGTGGAAACATCATTCTTTGGGGATGCTTTTCTGCAAAGGGGACAGGACAACTGTACCGTATTGAGGGGAGGATGGATGGGGCCATGTATCGCGAGATCTTGGCCAACAACCTCCTCCCCTCAGTAAGAGCATTGAAGATGGGTCGTGGCTGGGTCTTCCAGCATGACAACGACCCGAAACACACAGCCAGGGCAACTAAGGAGTGGCTCCGTAAGAAGCATCTCAAGGTCCTGGAGTGGCCTAGCCAGTCTCCAGACCTGAACCCAATAGAAAATCTTTGGAGGGAGCTGAAAGTCCGTATTGCCCAGCGACAGCCCCGAAACCTGAAGGATCTGGAGAAGGTCTGTATGGAGGAGTGGGCCAAAATCCCTGCTGCAGTGTGTGCAAACCTGGTCAAGACCTACAGGAAACGTATGATCTCTGTAATTGCAAACAAAGGTTTCTGTACCAAATATTAAGTTATGGCTTTTGTGATGTATCAAATACTTATGTCATGCAATAAAATGCAAATTAATTACTTAAAAAATCATACAATGTGATTTTCTAGATTTTGTTTTAGATTCCGTCTCTCACAGTTTGAAGTGTACCTATGATAAAAATACAGACCTCTACATGCTTTGTAAGTAGGAAAACCTGCAAAATCAGCAGTGTATCAAATACTTGTTCTCCCCACTGTATATATGTAACATATTTTACCCCTTTTTTGGGAGGCACAAAACTACCTTGATACTTCCATTAGTTTTTTTAATCCAGTACCGGTTACCTTCAGACGAGTCCCGTGACACTTGTGGGGGTTGTAGAGCAAAACGGAGAACACCATTGTGTTCGGGAGAGTCTCCCCTTTCCATAGTTTGTAGGTCAAACCGTTCAGACGCTACAGATGTTTTCGTGAGAAGACCGATTTTCGGGATGTCTCATGGTGTGACAAACCCCGCTCTAGCTCTGCCACCTTTCACCGCAGATGCGGAAGTGCGACACTGGCGGATGTGGACAGATATCTCTAGATTAAACTGCTGGATTTTGATGGGGGTGTATTTGTTATGTAACTTACATTGACGCACCAGTGCATCAATCGACTCTAGGGGGTTAAAAGGTGACATCAGTAAGGGATCATAGCTTTCACCTGGATTCCCCTGGTCAGTCTATGTCATGGAAAGAGCAGATGTTTCTAATGTTTTGTACACTCAGTGTATATCATGTCATGTAAACATTAGCCGCATCAGGAGACACCCTTGTGGAACCCCTGTGTTACTGCTGTCCATGTTAGAGAGAGATGTCACCGACCATCTGATTTCTACTGTATGTTTTGCATTTTTGGAATGATAATAAGCCTGCGCACCAACTTAATGCTCATTAAATAATGATTTGTTTTTATACTCATCCTATCTGGCATACATATTGTCAAAATAAGATAAAGGGTTGACAGACTCACATAACTTGGTCTGCTAAAGGTGGGTTTGCAGGTGAGGGGTTTGGAGGTGGATTGACTGGGTTCGGGTTGGTTCGGGGAAAGTCATACAAGTGCCTTGTTGCAGAGGGGTGCCTGACACCAGTTGTAAATTGGTTGGTGGTAAACTGGTTTGGCTGGTAATTGGGTTGCCAATACACAGGTGGGGATGATTGAATGTCGTTAATAGAGTTGTGGTCCTCAGTGAGGCTGCGTTCAATTGTCAGCTGCATCAGCTCCTCATCTGACAGGGCGCTGTAAAGACTGTAGTCATCAAAACCTCTAGGGGTGCCCATCCTTCCAGGCATGGACATGCTGGCCACAGCCATGGTTGATCTATTTACAAGGATACAAAAGTCATGACAATGAAATTCACTCAAATTGAACAACACTTTTAAAACACAATTCAGTATGTAACCAAAACCACCAACATAACGTGCATGTCAAAGTAAAACTGCTAAAACAAATTACAAATATTCGTATATGAAAGTCAAGACTGTGAGACATGTGTACTACGTGTGCTATTGCCAAAGAGGTCATTCAAAACATGTTTGAGTTTAAAGATTGCGGATAAAACATTTTGCCAAGTCAGCGTTGTGGACAGTGTGGAGACCTAAATGTTTCAAGAAGACCACCATAGTCCCTGTGCCCAAGAAAGCGAAGGTAACCTGCCTAAATGACTACTGCCCCGTAGCACTCACGTCGGTAGCCATGAAGTGCTTTGAAAGGCTGGTCATGGCTCACATCAACACCATCATCCCAGAAACCCTACACCCACTCCAATTCGCACACCGCCCCAACAGATCCAAAGATGACGCAATCTCAATCGCACTCCACACTGCCCTTTCCCACCTGGACAAAAGGAACACCTACGTGAGAATGCTGTCCTTTGACTACAACTCAGCGTTCAACACCATAGTGCCCACAAAGCTCATCACTAAGCTAAGGACCCTGGGGCTAAACACCTCCCTCTGCAACTGGATCCTGGACTTCCTGTCGGGCCACCCCCAGGTGGTAAGGGTAGGCAACAACCTATCTGCCATGCTGATCTTCAACACGGGGGCCCCTCAGGGGTGCGTGCTCAGTCCCTCCTGTACTCCCTGTTCACCCACGACTGCATGGCCAAGCACGACTCCAACACCATCATTAAGATTGCTGACGACACAACAGTGGTAAGCCTGATCACCGACAACGATGAGACAGCCTTGTAGGGAGGAGGTCAGAGACCTGGCAGTGTGGTGCCAGGACGACAACCTCTCCCTCAACGTGAGCAAGACAAAGGAGCTGATCGTGGACTACAGGAAAAGGAGGGCCAAACACACCCCCATTCACATCGACGGGGTTGTAGTGGAGCGGGTCTAGAGTTTCAAGTTCCTTGGTGTCCACATCACCAACAAACTATCATGGTCCAACACACCAAGACATTCATGAAGAGGGCATGACAACAACTTTTCCCCCTCAGGAGACTGAAAAGATTTGGCATGGGTCCCCAGATCCTCAAAAAGTTCTACAGCTGCTCCATTGAGAGCATCCTGACCAGTTGCATCACTGCCTGGTATGGCAACTGCTCGGCATCTGACCGTAAGGCGCTACAGAGGGTAGTGCATACGGCCCAGTACATCACTGGGGCCAAACTTCCTGCCATCCAGGACCTATATACTAGGCGGTGTCAGAGGAAGGCCCAAAAAATGGTCAAAGACAGTTTTTCTCTGCTACCGCACAGCAAGCGGTACTGGAGCGCCAAGTCTAGGTCCAAAAGGCTCCTTAACAGCTTCTACTCCCAAGCCATAAGACTGCTGAACAATTCATCAAATGGCCACCCTGGACTATTTACATTGAAACACTACTGCTACTCGCTGTTTATTATCTATGCATAGTCACTTTACCCCTACCTACATGTACAAATTACCTCGACTAACCTGTACCCCCGCACATTGACTTGGTACCAGTACCTCCTGTATATAGCTTCATTATTGTTATTTTATTGTGTTACTTTTTGTTTTATTTTTTACTTTAGTTTATTTAGTACATTTAGTAAACTCTATTTCTTGAACTGCATTGTTGGTTAAGGGCTTGCAAGTAAGCATTTCACGGTAAGGTCTACACCTGTTGTATTCGGCGCATTTGACAAATAAGATTTGACATTTTTATTTTAACCTAGCACTAACACAATTGTACAGAAGAGTATTAGGGCCAAGTGATATTATTCTCAAAATATTGCCACTTTATTCACATATTGGAATTTTAACTTCATTTTCAAACATGTATTTCAACTTTATTCTCAATTTCAACTATTTCAAGCATTTCAAGTTTGGAAAGTACTATCCGTGCAACAAAAAAAATCCCATCACCGTTTATTTATCTCTTCACTTTGCCCTAATATTCTTCTGTACACTTGATTTAAATTCCCACCAAGCTCTTGATAAGTGTTAGTGCAGGGATATAACAAAAATCAGCACATCATACAATAGCAATCCTATATCAAACCGACGGGAGGGAACGTTAGCCAAAAGCTTAATTGAGAACAAAGACTTGATTTAAAGCTGTACATCATTTGTTTACAAAGTCTCCTATGACAACAAAAACATAAATAATGGAGTAGAATGTCCTTAGTTTTTGGTTATAATAGCGTAAGAAAGCTGTACCAATCTTATTACATCATATTCCTCCAAATTAGTTAATTATTTAATCAATGGAAATGACAGAAAATCTTAGACTTTATACCACATGCTTAGGTTGATTCATGACATTTCTTGATGTAATTTCCCTACAGTAACTATGCTAGTATACAATTATAAACAGTAATTCAACCATTAATTTCCACTAAGTCATTGTTTTGTGTACCATTGATTTGTGGATCTGCAGTTACAAGATACAGCTTAGTAATAATATGGTAGCTGGTGACCAAAGTAAACAAAATAATGTGGCTACTTAGTGTAAAGTTAATGCAATACAAACCAATACTGGCATGCTATACCTACCTTGTAGCGTCTGCAATGTGCAGTCAAAACACTTTAACAGTAGACTAGCAGTTGTCAGATTGCAGTCCTCGTGAGGGGATGAGGATTTGAAATTGTCTTGCACTCTGTGTTGTCCTCCAGGCGAATGAAGAAATAGCAGCAGCTCAATGTTTATGACATATTCCAAAGGGGGTCTTGATTTCATGCTTTGAAAAGCTGACCCTTGATGGCAAACTTTGCTTGCATGTGTCACTCAGAATAGGGATGGCCTACTTCAGATATGGCACGGTTGATGCTGACACTTAAAGTGCCTAGAGAACGGGGGGAACCAAACATAAACTTCTGCAACATAAACACTATTGTGTTTCCATGTCTTGTTCATCACTCAACTAATTCAGAACGAAATGTGAGAAAGATGGAAATGTAGTTTCACTGTGACTAGACACTTACCTCACTTGTACAATACCACTGTTTGTTATAATATTTTGTCCTGCTTGAAAATCAGAGACATGGTTTGAATATTGCTGTCCGTCAATGATTCCCAACCAAATAATTTGGTTTAATTTCGTGGGCTTGAGCAATTTTGACAAAAAGAATGGATCAATGTTGCCCTTAGATTTTTGCAAGCTTGGTAGAATCCTATTCAAAATTATTCACAGCTGTAACAGATGACAAAGGTGCTTCCACCAAGTATTAACTCTGGGGTGTGAAGACATAGGCTATGCCATCAATACATCTTAATGTATAATTTTTTAATTAATAATAATAAAATAAAATAAAATCTTTCACTTTGAACTTACGTTTTAAGGCAGCAAAATGGAAGACTTTCACTAGCGACTGTATGTACTGTATGATTTTGTATGACAGTCTTGAGTAAATGTGCCTCTCATACCCTCTGATCCAAGGCCAATATTAAAAATATGCTATGCTATACAGAACTGACTGTTATTAATCAGGAATATTGATCATACATGTAAAAGCCAATGTTTTGAACAGCTGTGTGCATTATCAAGTAGGTTGGCATACCAAATATCAACATGAGTATGTCTCATGACCGAAAAGTCCTGATTTTTGAAGCTGTGTAATACATAGACTATTAAATTGTCTACATTATTTTCCCCACCTGTTTCTAAATAGAGGTATAAGTAATGCTGAAAGAATGCTGAGTTACTATGTTGCACACCATCTTTACTTAACTATAGCTGAACATGTCCTGACCAGAAGTAAAGGTGACGATGTGTAATACTATTCCACTGTTACATGTTTCCCTGTGACTGTTACAGGAGTGGGTCGCAGTCCCAGAGCGACCCACTAGGTGTCATCCTCCAACAACCATAGGCACCTCCTCACTCACAGTCGGGACTAATTATCTGCCTATTGGTGTCACCTGTGTCTATCTGATTCACTTGTGTATTTATGGGGGGGTGGGGGGGCACACGGGGTGGTTGGCGGAGCCAGGGTTCAGAGCAGAGCCAACTCCCCGTACTCACGCTAGGAAGCGTGTGACCGTGCAGGCTCCGTGTTATGCGGAGCTACGCACTGTGTCGCCAGTGCGCCGGCACAGTCCAGTGCGTCCTGTGCTAGCACCACGCACGTGCCGTGCGAAATTGGGCATCCAGCCAGGACGGGTTGTGCCGGCTCAACGCTCCTGGTCTCCAGTACGCCTCCTCGGTCCAGCATATCCTGCGCCGGTTCTACGTACTGTGTCGCCAGTGTGCGTGCACAGCCCAGTGCGTCCTGTGCTAACGCCACACACGTACTGTGCGGAAGTGGGCATCCAGCCAGGACGGGTTGTGCCAGCTCTACGCTCCAGACCTCCAGTGCGCCTCCACAGTCCGGTACGCCCCGTACCTGCTCCCCGCACCAAACCAGTGGTGCCTGTCGCCAGCCCGGTAAGCCACGTACCTGCTCTCCGCACCAAACCATTGGTGCGCGTATCCAGTCCGGTACCTCCCGTGCCAGCTCCTCGCACCAAACCAGTGGTGCCTGTCGCCAGCCCGGTACGACCCGTGCCTGCTCCTCGCACCACACCAGTGGTGCTTGTTCCCAGTCCAGCTCCAGTCAGCCACTCCGGAGCCAGAGTAGTCCGCTCCACTGGTGCCTAGTCCAGCTCCGGTCAGCGGTTCCACTCCGGAGCCAGAGCAGTCCGCTCCACCGGTGCCCTGTCCAGCTCCGGTCAGCGGCGCCACTCTGGAGCCAGAGCAGTCCGCTCCACCGGTGCCCAGTCCAGCTCCGGTCAGCGGCTCCACTCCGGAGCCAGGGCAGTCTGCTCCACCGGGGTCCAGCTCAGCTCCGGTCAGCGGCTCCACTCCGGAGCCAGAGCAGTCTGCTCCACCGGGGTCCAGTTCAGCTCCGTTCAGCGGCTCCACTCCGGAGCCAGGGTAGTCCGCTCCACCGGGGTCCAGTTCAGCTCCGGTCAGCGGCTCCACTCCGGAGCCAGAGCAGTCCGCTCCACCGGTGCCCAGTCCAGCTCCGGTCAGCGGCTCCACTCCGGAGCCAGAGCAGTCCGCTCCACCGGGGTCCAGTTCAGCTCTGGTCAGCCGCTCCACTCCAGGCCCTGACGTCAGCCCCTCTCCAGGGTCGGGGTCTCCCACACCAGGGTCCAGACAGGGCTTGGTACATCGCGGGAGGATTGCCGATCCAGGCCCAGACGTCAGCCCCTCTCCAGGTTCGAGGCCTCCCACACCAGGGTCCAGACAGGGCTTGGTGCATCGTGGGAGGAAAGAGAGGGGAAGCATCGCGCCGAGGTCCAGGCCAGACCAGGGGTGCAACGGGGAGGCAGAGAGGGAGAGGTCGTCACGCCCGGAGCCGGAGCCGCCCCCGAGGCGGAATGCCCACCCGGACCCTATCCTAATGAGTCAGGTTGGTGCGGCCGGAGTACGCACCTTTGGGGGGGGGGGGGGGGGGGGGTACTGTCACGCCCTGACCTGGATAGACTGTTATTCTCTAGGTAGTTTGGTCAGGGTGTGAAACTCTATGTTTTGTATATCTATGTTTGGCCGGGTGTGGTCCCAATCAGAGGCAGCTGTCGCTCGTTGTCTCTGATTGGGGATCATACTTAGGCAGCCAGTTTTCCTGCCTGGGTTGTGGGATCTTGTTTGTGTTCCTATTTGGCTTGTTTCCGTGTATAGCCCATAGGACTTCACGTTTTCGTTGCTTTTGTTGTTTTTTTCAAGTGTTTATTCTATTTAATAAACATGTACGCATACCACGCTGCACCTTGGTCTGACCCGTCTCTCACCGATCGTGACAGTATTGAAGAAACTATTAAAATAAGTATTAAAATAACACAAGGGGATAGTGTACTATCAACAACTGCTCTGAAATACAGTATATTAGAATACATATTATATTACTTCTGGTCAAAATCCCAAGCACTGCAAAATTGAGGTTCTCAGGGTGATGAGAGGTGTTGGGTTTGCGCCATACATAGCATTTTCCTTGATGGCCAAAAAGCTCAATTTTAGTCTCATCTGACCATAATACCTTCTTCCATATGTTTGGGGAGTCTCCCACATGCCCTTTGGTGAACACCAAACGTGTTTGCTTATTGTTTTCTTTAAGCAATGGCTTTTTTCTGGCCACTCTTCCGTAAACCCAGCTCTGTGGAGTGTATGGCTTAAAGTGGTCCTATGGACAGATACTCCAATCTCCACTGTGGAGCTTTGCAGCTCCTTCAGGGTTATCTTTGGTGTCTTTGTTGCCTCTCTGATTAATGCCTTCCTTGCCTGGTCCATGAGTTTGGTGGGCGGCCCTCTCTTGGCAGGTTTGTTGTGGTGCCATATTCTTTCCATTTTTTAATAAAGGATGTAATGGTGCTCCATGGGATGTTCAAAGTTTCTGATATTTTTTTATAACCCAACCCTGATCTGTACTTTTCCACAACTTTGTCTCTGACCTGTTTGGAGAGCTCCTTGGTCTTCATGGTGGTGCCCCTTGCTTAGTGGTATTGCAGACTCTGGGGCCTTTCAGAACAGGTGTATATATACCTGAGATCATGTGACACAAATAAATGTGTATTCTGGTTTATGGACAAATCTATAACCAGGAGCTCAAATTTCTTCTTATCTCAAGATTGGGATGCCATGAAATTAGATTTTACTTATATGGCCACTCCTCCCCCTTTCTGTAATATCTAAATACATTATAATAATTTATGACAATGTCTTTATCAGAGACAGAACCATTTAACCAAGTTTCCAAGAGAACCAGAATGTCAGGATATGAGTCCTGTACGCAAATGTCAATTGTGTCAAAAAAAAGTATAATCATACTTCACACATTTAGGTGCATTAGCCCAAAACCCCTATGAGATTTAAAGTCAGAGGGGGTATTCAGATAATTCCCATCAGAACTAACAGGCATAGGGTCATCGGCAGCTATTTGTTGAGTGAGCTGAGACTTTGCCAAGGTCCCGGGCCAACCACGTGAGAGCAGGGCAGACTAAGCATTTGACAGACCTCCCTCAAGTCGCTGGATGCATGGGCTGGGGCGGAAACTGTGAGAGCAGAGTTGGCAGAGCTCAGTCCACCCAGATGAAGTTCCCGACAAAGGAGTGGAGCTGCTGCAGGGGACCGGAGTGGCTGCCAATGCTCCATTCTGGGTGTACACAGATGCCTTGGTGTGGCTCCTGTTGCAGGGTTGGGGCTGCCATTGTGGCAGGAGTGTCCCAGGCCTGTCCTGGAGATGGAAGTAGGGAGGGTAACCAAAACTAGCCTGGGAGGGAGGTTGTGGGGGGAATTGAGGAGGGTGGTGTTAAGGGCAGTGTGGTTGGCGAAGCTCCAAACTCTCTGAATATGAGGGCTGATGATGAGAATGATACATGGTGTGGACTGCATCATATGGTGCACTACCCTCAACAGAGTTTTGCCAGACCCTAGGGTAGTGGTCAGTGCTGTGTAGAGCTAGGCTGAGTTGAGGTGGGCCTGGTCTAGTAGAGCTGTGCTGTGATGGGCTAGGTCTGGTAGAGCTCTGTTGAGGTGTGCCGGGTCTGGTTGTGCTGTGCTGTGCTGTGATGGGCTGGGTCTGGTAGAGATGTGCTGTAATGGACCGGGTCTGGTTGTGCTGTGTTGTGATGGTCCTAGTCTGGTAGAGCTGTGCTTTGATGGGCCGGGTCTGGTGGAGCTGTACTGTGATGGGCCAGGTTGAGCTGTGCTGAGGCTGGCCGGGTCTGGTATAGCTGTGCTGAGGCGGGCCATGTCTGGTTGAGCTGTGCTGTGATGGGCCGGGTCTGATTGATCTGTGCTGAAGCGGGCCGGGTCTGGTTGTCTCTCCGATGGCTGTAGGGTCTATATGTCTCTTACCAGAGGCTGCCTCTGCATATGTGGGCTGTCAGTGAGGTTGAGGCATGGGCTGGGGTATCCTCCTCCAGTGCTGTGAAGTGTTGGGTTGAGCTGAGCTGTGTCCGGCAACGCTGGGTTGAGATGGGTTGGTTCCGGCACTGCCGGGTTGAGCTGGTCTGGGTCTAGCGTCGCTGGACTCAGACATTTTGGTAGGGGCTGGTGATGTCTGTGTCTGGCTCAGCTGAGATGAGAATGGCCTCCTCTCTCTCCTTGAATAGCAGGGAGGTGGTGGGGCTCTGTTGCTGTCCTGGTATGATTGTGGAACTCTGCCTGACGTCCTTCAGGTCCTTGGCAAAGATTCTGACTCCCTCATGGTCCAGGTGTACATGGACGTACAAGTGCTCACATGTCAGGGTGTGGTGGCGAGATATGCTGACATTTGGTAGTGAGGAGCAGTCCGTGGTAATTCTTTGGTTGATATTTTTGATCATTTGCCAGAGGAGATCTTTCCTGGGTGGATATAATAATGTTTGTCCTTGGGAACAGGGTGTATGCTTTCTCTGCTACCTTTCTCACTTCCTCAGCCACTCTTTCTCCTTTTGTGTGCAGGTCATTTGTCCCAGTATGTAAGACAAGGTTGTCAGGATTTTCCAGCTTGACTTGATAGAGCAGTTTTATTGAACTGTCAGTAGTGGAACACCAGACTTTAGCTGTCTGGTGTCTGGGGAATAGTCTCCTATCTTCCAGATACTTCCCATTAGAGTCTATCAGAACTGAAGTTTTGGGAGGTATCCTGGGTTGAACTAGATCCTGTCCCCTGTCCTCTGGAGGTGTATTCAGCTGAACATGGTCAGACTGCTGGGAGGTTGGCGAGGCAGGGTAGGCTGTGGCAGGCTGGGAGGCCGGTGACGCCGAACACCGAAACCTTCCAGAACAAGGAGGGGAGGCAGCCTCAGCAGAAGTCGTGACACAACCCCCCCCCTTGACGCACGGCTCCAGCAGCTCGCCGACCCCGGGGACGGCCAGGAGGACGCGGAGCAGGGCGAGCCAGATGGCGACGGTGGAAATCCCGTAACATGGAGGGATCGAGGATATCCCTCACCGGGACCCAGCACCGTTCCTCCGGACCGTACCCCTCCCACTCCACGAGGTACTGAAGGCCCCCCACCCGACGCCTCGAATCCAGGCTGGAACGGACAGAGTACGATGGGGCACCCTCGATGTCCAGAGGAGGTGGAGGGACCTCCCGCACGTCAGCCTCCTGGAGCGGACCAGGTACCACCGGCCTGAGGAGAGACACATGAAACGAGGGGTTAATACGGTAATTAGGGGGAAGTAATAACCTAAGTGACCTCGTTGACTCTCCTCGGGACTTTGAACGGCCCCACAAACCGTGGACTCAGCTTCCGGCAGGGCAGGCGGAGGGGCAGATTCCGGGTCGAGAGCCAGACTCGATCCCCCGGTACAAAGACGGGGGCCTCACTGCGGTGGCGGTCAGCGTTGGCCTTCTGACGACGCACGGCGCGTTGGAGGTGAACGTGGGCAGCATCCCACGTCTCCTCCGCGCACCAAAACCAGTCATCCACCGCAGGAGCCTCGGTCTGGCTCTGGTGCCACGGTGCCAGAACTGGTTGGTAACCTAGAACACACTGGAAAGGCATTAGGTTAGTGGAGGAGTGGCGGAGAGAGTTCTGGGCATATTCTGCCCATGGCAAGAACACCGACCACTCCCCCGGCCGGTCCTGGCAGTAGGACCACAGGAACCTACCCACGTCCTGATTTACCCGTTCCACCTGCCCATTACTCTCCGGGTGGAACCCAGAGGTCAGGCTGACCGAGACCCCCAGACGTTCCATGAACACCTTCCAGACCTTCGACGTGAACTGGGGACCTCGGTCAGACACTATATCCTCCGGTACCCCGTAGTGCCGGAAGACGTGTGTGAACAGGGCCTCCGCAGTTTGCAGAGCCGTGGGGAGACCGGGCAGAGGAAGGAGGTGGCAGGCTTTAGAAAAGAGGTCCACAACGACCAGGATGGTGGTGTTACCTTGGGAGAGGGGAAGATCAGTTAGAAAATCAACACTTAGGTGAGACCATGGTCATTGTGGAACTGGTAAAGGTTGTAACTTATCAGCTAGGAGGTGCCTAGGTACCTTACTCTGGGCGCACACTGCGCAGGAGGAGACATACACCCTCACGTCCTTAGCCAATGTAGGCCACCAGTATTTTCTGGTCAGGCAGCGCACTGTACGGCCGATACCTGGGTGACCAGAGGAGGGTGACATGTGTGCCCAGTAAATGAGACGATCACGGATAAGAGCAGGCACGTACTGTAGCCCATCTGGACACTGAGGTGGAGAAGGATCAGTGCGTAATGCCTGCTCTATATCCGCGTCCATTGCCCATACTACCGGCGCCACAATGCAGGAGGCCGGCAGTAAGGGGGTGTTGTCTCTGGGCCTCTCCTCTGTGTCATACAGCCAGGACAGTGCGTCTGCCTTCACGTTCGTCGTACCCGGGATGTATGATAGAGTGAAATCAAACTGGGTGAAGAATAGGGCCCACCTGGCCTGGCGAGGATTCAGCCTCCTCGCTGGCCGGGTGTACTCCAGGTTATGATGGTTCGTCCAGACGAGGAAAGGGTGTTTCGCCCCCTCGAGCGAATGCCTCCACACGGTCAAGGCTCGGACAACAGCCAACAGCTCCCGATCACCAACGCCGTAGTTCTGCTCCGCCGGGCTGAGCTTCTTTGAGAAAACCGTCCGGATGCTGGAGAAGTAGAGCTCCAGTTGGAGAAGGAATCCTTGGCACAGCGCCGCTGTCCCGTCGAACTTACCTGGTCGGAATATCTGAATCATTCCGGGTGCTGGGGAGTAGGTGGCGGTATCCGGTTGACCAGCAGGTCTCGACGGATCGGGCTCTCTCCTCTCCAGGCGTTGGATGACCTGAAGAATCCGACCCATCGCTTCACCCAAGCTGGCTAGCATAGTTGAATGCTCCTGGACCCGTTCCACGACTCCAGGCATGTGCGTCTCTCCCGCTGACTCCATATCAGTGGGTGGGTGATTCTGTGATGAGGTGGTGTTGAAGGAGTCAGGCGCAGGAGGGTAAATCACAGAATAACAGGCTTTAATCCTCAAAATACAGGTTTATGCAGAAATGCGTCAAACACACTCCAGGGCACAAACCAGGCGCACTGGAAAATACAAGGCACATGGGAAATACTCCCGGCGATACACAAATACACGAGCTCCACCGAGCTTCACTAACCTCGACAATAAACAATCACCCACACAGACAAGGAAGCAGTGGGAACACTTATACCATGACTAATGAGGGAAATAAGGACTAGGTGTGTGTGATTGAAGACAAATGGAGTGATGATAAATGGATCGGCAGTAGCTAGTATGCCGGTGACGCCGAATCCTGCCGAACAAGGAGGGGAGGCAGCCTCGGCGGAAGTCGTGACAATGACCAGCCTTTCAAAGCACTTCATGGCTACAGACATGAGTGCTACGGGTCGGTAGTCATTTAGGCAGGTTACCTTAGTGTTCTTGGGCACAGGGACTATGGCGGTCTGCTTGAAGCATGTTGGTATTACAGACTCAGTCAGGGACAGGTTGAAAATGTCAGTGAAGACACTTGCCAGTTGGTCAGCACATGCTTGGAGTACACGTCCTGGTAACCCATCTGGCCCTGCGGCCTTGTGAATGTTGACCTGTTTAAAGGTCTTTCTCACATCGGCTACGGAGAGCGTGATCACACAGTCGTCCGGAACAGCTGATGCTCTCATGCATGCTTCAGTGTTGCTTGCCTCGAAACGAGTATAGAAGTAATTTAACTCGTCTGGTAGGCTTGTGTCACTGGGCAGCTTGTGGCTATGCTTCCCTTTGTAGTCTGTAATAGTTTGCAAGCCCTGCCACATCCGACTAGCGTCGGAGCCGGTGTAGTACGATTAAATCTTAGTCCTGTTTTGACGCTTTGCCTGTTTGATGGTTCATCGGAGGGCATAGCAGGATTTCTTATAAGCGTCCGGGTTAGAGCCCCGCTCCTCGAAAGCGGCAGCTCCACCCTTAGCTCAGTGCGGATGTTGCCTGTAATCCATGGCTTCTGGTTGGGGTATGTATGTACGGTCACTGTGGGGATGACGTCATCAATTCACTTATTGATGAAGCCAATGACTGATGTGGTGTACTCCTCAATGCCATCAGAAGAATCCCGGAACATATTCCAGTCTGTGCTAGCAAAACAGTCCTGTAGCTTAGCATCTGCGTCATCTGACCACTTCTTTATTGCCCGAGTCACTGCTGTTTCCTGCTTTAGTTTTTGCTTGTAAGCAGGAATCAGGAGGATAGAGTTATGGTCAGATTTGCCAAATGGAGGGCGAGGGAGAGCTTTGTACGCGTCTATGTGTGTGGAGTAAAGGTGGTCTAGAGTTTTTTTTTCCTCTGGTTGCACATTTTAACATGCTGGTAGAAATTAGGTAAAATAGATTTAAGTTTCCCTGCAATTAAGTCCCCGGCCACTAGGAGCGCTACCTCTGGATGAGCGTTTTCCTGTTTGCTTATGGCCTTATACAGCTCATTGAGTGCAGTCTTAGTGCCAGCATCGGTTTGTGGTGGTAAATAGACAGCTACGAAAAATATAGATGAAACTCTCATGGTAAATAGTGTGGTCTACAGCTTATCATGAGATACTCTACCTCAGGCAAGCAAAAGCTTGAGACTTCCTTAATATTAGATTTCGTTTCCCAGCTGTTGTTTACAAATATACACAGACCGCCACCCCTTGTCCTACCAGAGGCAGCTGTTCTATCTTGCCGATGCAGCGTATATCCCACCAGCTGTGTGTTATCCATGTCGTCGTTCAGCCACGACTCGGTGAAACATAAGATATTACAGTTTTTAATGTCCCGTTGGTAGGATATCCGTGATCTTAGTTTGTCTATTTGTTATCCAATGATTGTATGTTGGCTAATAGGACTGATGGTGGAGGCAGATTACGCACTCGCCGTCGGATCCTTACAAGGCGTCTCTTTCTCATGTGAATGACGGGGTTTTGGGCCTTGTCGGGTGTCTGAAGAAAATCCTTTGCGTCCGACTCGATAAAGAAAAAATCTTCGTCCAGTACGAGGTGAGTAATCGCTGTCCTGATATCCAGAAGCTCTTTACGGTCATAAGAGACGGTGGCAGAAACATTATGTACAAAATAAGTTACAAATAACGCAAAAAAAACACACACAATAGCAAAATTGGTTAGGAGCCCGAAAAAACGGCAGCCATCTCTTCCGGCGCCATTCTTCTAGGTTTTCAATGGGCACCGGTTACAATCCAAGAACCAATGGCGTTTATCAAACTCCAGGCGATGCTGAGATGATATGAAAATATAGCTTTTTGTCCAAGCACCCCAGTGGTAGGTTTGGCGTTGAAAACAAAGTCCTCAACCAGCGGGTGTGGTCTGCAGCAATACTTGCACTGAAAACAGGAAGCGGCATCACAGCCATTGTCCATGAGGTTTTTCAGCAGCGACAGACATCTTATACAGATCATAACAGTGGCAGGGAACATAGTAGGGTAGTATGGGATGCAGTCGTTAACGTCGTCCCGTGCTACACCAATAGGGTGACCATGTCGATACAACCCCACCTCCTGGGTGCTAATAATATGGAGTACTTTTTCAATACTTGCATTTTATTGGCCTCTCTCCTCCACAAACATGAATAATATATCATCAACTATTTAATCTGTAGAACTTTGCCACCACTGTTGCTTCAAATGTTTTTGCTGAGCCAGAAGCTCTAAATTATGTCTGACCTACAATAGGAATCTGACTTAGTCTAATGAAATATTTTGTTTTTCCCTTACTGTCATGTGATATTCAGAGCCAAGGCCACC